TTGTTGGGGTGTACGCGTGCGTTTCTGGAGATTTGATTCCCACTCTTGGGAAGGTGTATCAACAGTGCAGAGCTGAAGAGAGAGAATTTGAGATAGTGCTGGTGTCCATACCCTTGTTTGCTGACTCTCTTGACCCACAGGTTCACATGGCGAACATTGTGAGTTTGTTGCAGGAGTCGGGGATATCGTGGTGGCAGTTTCCCCCCTCTGGGAATCCAAACAAGCTCTTCAACAGCTCTGTAAGCTTTAGGGTCAGTCGATGTCTTTGCAGGGACTTCACAGATCGAATCATCATCGTGGGACGCGATGGTTCATTTGTTGAACCTGGCGGAAGAGAAATCTTGAGCAAGTTTGGGGTTGATGGGTATCCATTCAGCAGCGAGTGCGTTGTTGAAAAGGAATTGGAAAAGTTTGGGAAACTCACTATGGAGTCGCTGTTGGTGCCTCCTCCGCCAAGGGACTTTGTTTATAAAGAGAAGAAGAAGATACACGTGAGTGAACTGAAGGGCAAGAAAATACTTCTTTACCTGAATAGATTTGGTGACTTTTGTCTTGCTGGAAAAGTGAGAGCCTGGTATTCTGAGATGAAGGGAACTTATCCTAATGTTGAAGTGGTAGTTTGCAGATTTGACTATATTGTAATGGCAGATGAGGGAGATGAGTCCGATGTAACACTATCCGAATTGCTTCCTTTTTGGCATGTGTGCCCCTTCGACCCTCAGCACTCGGCATCTCTGGTGGAGGTACTATTCAAGGGGGGTTGTGAGTTTGATGCCCTCATTGAATTTGGAACAGATGGCCGTGTTTGTTCAATGAAAATCGCAAGCGGTACGGAATACCTACCACGAGGCATTGTGTTTGATAAATCTCAGCTACGCGATGATATCACTCGCCATTTTAGGTTCAAAGGGTTTATATGACTGATCCCTAGCCCCTCCAAAACGGTATTTAATATCATTTTCTTGTGATCTGCTTAACTTGTGTGCGTGTGAGTGTGTGAGTGTGTGTGTTTTTAATTTTGAACATTTCTCAAGTTTGATGGTTGTCATTTGTGGTAAGTTCCAGAATCCCAAGTTTTCTAATAGCCCCCACTCCAGCCCCCTCCCTCCCCTGAGCTTATGTTTCATCGTCATCTTTGGTTCTTTGTTAATATGCATCTAAAAGCCCTCATTTCTATTCTATTATGATGCCATTGATCCTTTTTCAAGGATGTTTGCCTTTACGATGTTGTTCTCTTGAACTTCAACAAGTCTAAATTATGTTTCCATTATATATAACAGGTTTGTTTATTTTATTTTATTTTTGTTAATATTCTAGAATGTGATCACCCGTATTACTCGAAATTTGTTAATATAAGAAGGTGAGGAACGTCTATAAAGATTCTTTTATATGTACACCGTTTTGTACACCGATTGAACACCACATATAAACCCCCCCTCCCCCTCACTAACATAACCCCCCCTGAATTCTGCAGATCTCTTGTTCACATACACACACTTTCACTTAAGTCTCCCTTCTCAGAATATCTCCGGTGATTGTCAACGGTAGCGGCAACTTTCTGGTAGGTGTTTCTTGAGGAGAATTCAGTAAAGCAAGAACTGTTTCGCTTGGTCTTTTTCAGCCTTTTCTAATTTAAGAGTTCTTGTGATTGTGCAAATTAGGAAAACATGCACCAAATCAAGTGGAGATTTTGCCTCTAGATTTGATAGCAAGTGAGGATGTTATTAGGAAGGCTGTAGAGAAAGCTGGATCTTTCTTTGGTGGATCTGGTGTGGATTATATATCCCACAATGCAGCCTATGAGCGACCTGTAAGTAAATACGCATTCCAATGATTGGAATGCTAACCTTTTGTGATTAGCAAAGTTAGTGGTAAATGGTAACTCAACTAAAACTGATTCTTTTGCCAAAAAAAGCTGTGTCAAATCTTGTCTATAAGAAGTGAGAAGTGTGGGTGCAGAGCGGAGGGCTAAGGCCTAAGGGTGTAATTGTAACTTCAGTTTACTTTCATGTAGACTGCTAGTTTGCTACCTTTGAGAACATGCCCATCTATCATAACCGGTAGGTCAAGCCATATTGAGGTCATTTTTAATGCTGTAAATTTACCTGTTTGCAGAAAACAACAGCATTGGATGTCACAGAAGAAAGTCTCAAGGTATTATTTTATACTTGTATCTGTATAGCATGTTCTTGACATAACACTAATAGGACTTATTTCAGGCAGCGATCTGTTTCATTTAGTAAAAAGAGCGACGAAAAGAAGAAAAAAAGAGAGTTACTGGGCAAGAGGTGACTTTAATATTCAGTTATTCTTAAGAAGAATGCAATTACTAAATTACTCTTGAAGGTTGAAAGGTCTTTGGTCACTTAGTATGAGAGGCTCCTTCTTTACAACATTAACAACAAACCCAATAAAATTCCAGAGGAAGGTCTGTGGAGGGTGTGTGTACACACACCATACCTATTCGACATATAAGAAGGTGAGGAACATCTATAAAGATTCTTCTACCCCACCACTAGACATACCTATTTTATTAGGAAATTGCTATATGTACACCGGTTTTGTACACCGATTGTACACCACATATAAACCCCCCTCCCCCTCACTAACATAACCCCACTGAATTCTGCAGATCTCTTGTTCACACACGCACTTTCACTTAAATCTCTCTTTTCAGAATATCTTCGGAGATTGTCAACAGAGATTGTCAATAGTAACGGCAGCAATTTAGAAGATACCCAGAAACACCTACCAGAAACACGTTTAGTGACTATTTGTACTTATACTAAACAACATTACATTTTTTTCTTGTAGTGCGTGAAGACTTACTATCTTGAAAAACCTTTGGGCCAGAATCACAGAGATATGTTAGGAAAGAGATTGGATAAATATGGGATACATTTTTTTACGCTGGAGAGGAAGCCACAACTCCGTGATATTCCATACGACGACTATGTTTGTCTAGGGTCTCAACCTTGACTAAAAACACATTTGCCAACAAAACAAAGTAGAGCAGATTAACCAATTTTTTTGGCATACAAAAAGCGAATTAAATGAAACCTTCTGAACTTCAAGAAAATAAATAAAAATAGTATGGAATAAATATTAACATGAAATCCAAATTAATATCTCGACCTCTTTCCTCGATTCACACAACCAAACTCTTGTACACTCACACACTCAATAATACAAAGACACGACTTTAGAATACAACTTTGTATTTTATAGAGAAATGTACAAGAGATATTACAATTACACAGGTAGTATACTTCACACTTTGTATTAGGAACACTTATCTACAACTCATTCACAATCACTATCAAGAAGCCTTATTGGTTGTTCAGACTCTTCTTCCTCCTCATTGCCAAGTGAGACATCCACACCCCTATTTATAGTCATCACCAAGGCTTGACTTCTCTAGAATACTTCACACATCTCTACGTATCTAGAATCAGATTCTAGAAAGTCTCCCCAAGCTTCTAGAAGAATCTAGAGAACCCCACACAGTTCTAGAATATTTTAGAGAACTCCACATTTTTCAACACTTCTAGAGATTTCCACATTTCTTTACAAAGCTCTATAATATTCTAGAAATTTTTACCCCATTCTACACATTTCTAAAAACTTATACACTTTTCTAGAAAATTCCACAACATTCTAGAAAATTCTACACATCTCCACAAACTTCTAGAATTCTCTAAATCTTTCCTGTCACAAATATTTGAAATATTGAATTAATATCCTAACATCTTACCTCGGAGTATTAAATATTAAAATTAAAGAATATTCCCTTCCTTTCAAAATGATTTACTATTTTATTATTTAATCTATCAATAACCTTTGTTTGCTCGTTTGATTTAGACTTATATTATTAAGGATTCAAAATCTCACTCCATTCGTGAATTACTCATGTGATTTATACCTTTTTTTATTTACACGTCTTATTAACTTTTAAGGATCTCACATATTATATAAATACATCCTTCATATTGATAATAGGGAGTAAAAGATAATAATTCTAATAATCTTGGATATGTATATACTTGTGTGAGTGATTTTCGAGAGAAATATTTTGCAATTTTGACAGTTAAAATTAAATCGGTGCAAACTCGGGTCACTTTGATATTAAAAATGAGCGGATATGAAAACAATAATTACTTACACAAGGCAGGCGAGCCGAGCTTGAGTTTTATGACAGCTATGGATTATAAGAAATGGGCTAGCAAGCCAACCATTTTTTATATCAAATACTATTACGCACAATGTTGTATATAAATAGATAAGGGCCAATGGGATGGGCCTCGTCCAACTCCGGGCTAGGAGGCACGCCGAGCGGACATTTCGCATTCGAACAAGTTGAGTTAGAATTCCATATTTTATCTCCTAAATTGTAGCGATTATATTGTGAAATCAGATTTTCAAATCAAGACTTTTTCTATAAGTGTGCGTTGATGGGAGTACTTTATACGAGAGGATGCTAAGATATTGGCCATCATGCTATGAAAATATCCTCATAGGTGGTTTGCAAACCGATGGGGTGGCCATGGTGTCAATCAATCGTATATGGATCAAGCAACATATTTTGATACTGCGTATGCCTTGGGAGAGCTTTATAATATTTCTCAAATTATGGTTGACGTTGCTCGTGGGAGTGCCTGAGGTAGAGGTTACGGGTATAATGGCAGCATTGGCACAAGAATAGTCGCGAGAGAGTTTCCGATCGTTTGAAAGCAAGAATCGGGGGCAACCGACCAAAGTTTGTAGGTTGCCGCCATAAAAAATGATACCGCAATGAAATTCATTTAAAGTTCAACGGCCGTTTTTAACTTCAAGACTATTTGGAGGACGAGTGTTACTTCCAAGTTTCAAACGATCACAACCTTGTATATTAATGCATCTACATCTTGAAGAAGAAGTAGCAACATATTAGACTTTTAATGAGATTTGGCAAATAAATGAATTTCTTGATTTGTACTTAGTACAATATTTTAGACCAGTGTGAGCAATAAAATGGAAGAAGATGTATGACGAGATTTGGCAAACTTTCGATCACCATTTTGTTGCTCACACTGGTCTAAAATATTTTACCAAGTACAAATCACGAAATTCCTATATTTCCTAAATCTCATTAAAAGTCTAACATGTTGCTACTTCTTCTACAAGATGTAGATGCATTAATATATAAGGTCTTGATCGTTTGGAACTTAGAAGTAAATTCGTCCTCCAAATAGTCCTGAAGTTCAAAACGGCCGTTGAACTTTAAATGAATTTCATGGAGGTACCATTTGTTTTTATGGCGGCAACCTACTAACTTTGGTCGTTTCCCCCCAATTCTTGCTTTCAAATGATCGCGAACTCTCTTGCGACTATCCTTGTGCCAATGTTGTCTATTATACTCGTAACCTTTACCTGAGGCATTCCCACGAGCAACGTCAACCATAATTTGGGAATATTGTAAAGCTCTCCTCAGGCACACGCGGTATCGAAGTATGTTGCTTGATACATATACCGTGATATACGATTGTTTGATACCATGCCCGCCCCATCAGTTTGCGAACTAGCTATGGGGGATATCTTCATAGCATGATAGTCAATATCATAACATCTTCTCGTATAAAGTACTCCTATTAGCGCACACTTATAGGAAGAAGTCTTGATTTGAAAATCTGATTTCGCAATGTAACCGCTACAATTTAGGAGATAAAATATGAATTCTAACTCGACTTGTTCGAACACAAAATGTCCACTCGGCGTGCCTCCTAGCCCGGAGTTAGACGAGGCCTATCCCATCGGCCCTTATCCATTATACAACATTGTACGTAATATTATTTGATATAAAAAATGGTGGGCTTGCAGGCCCATTTCTTATAATCCATATCTGCCATAAAACTCTAGCTCGGCTCGTCGGCTTTGTGTAAGTAATTATTGTTTTCATATCCGCTTATTTTAAATGACAAACTGACTCAAGTTTGCACCGGTTTAATTTAAATGTCAAAACTGCAAAACATTCCTCTCGAAAATCACTCACACAAGTATATACATGTCCAAGATTATTAGAATTATTATCTTTTACTCCTTATTATTTATATAAGATGTGAGATTCTTAAAAGTTAATTACACATGTAAATAAAAAAGGTATAAATCACATGAGTAATTTACGAATGGAGTAAGATTTTGAATCCTTAATAATATAAGTCTAAATCAAACGAGCAAACAAAGGTTATTGATAGACTAAATAATAAAAGAAAAAATCATTTTGAAAGGAAGGGAATATTTTTTAATTTTAATACTTAATACTCTAAGGTAATATATGTTAGGATATTAATTCAATAATTCAAATGTTTGTGAGAGAGAAGATTTTAGAGAATTCTAGAAATTGGTGGAGATGTGTTGAATTCTCTAGAATGTTGTAGAATTTTCTAGAGAAGTATAAAAGTTTCTAAAAATGTGTAGAACAGAGTAGAAGTTTCTAGAATATTCTAGAGCTTTGTAAAGAAGTGTGGTGAAAATGTGGAATATTCTAGAATAGTCTCTAGATTCTTGTGGATGCTTTTAGAAGATTCTAGATGTGTGGAATATTCTAGATAAGTTAAGCCTTGGTGATGACTATAAATAGGGGTTGGATGCCTCATTTGGCAATGACGAGGAAGAAGAGTCTGAAGAACCAATAAGGCTTCTTGAGAGTGATTGTGAATGAGTTGTAGAAAAGTGTTCCTAATACAAAGAGTGTAGTATACTACACGTATAATTGTAATCTCTCTTGTACATTTCTTTATATAATACAAAGTTGTTTTCTAAAATCGTGTATTTGTATTATTGTGTGTGTGTTTGAATGTACAAGAGTTTGGTTGTGTGAATTGAGGAAAGAGGTCGAGATATTAATTTGGATTTCATGTTATTCCATACTATTTTTTTATTTATTTTCTTGAAGTTCAGAATGTTTCATTTAATTCACTTTTTTGTATACCAAAAAATTTGGTTAATCTACTCTATTTTTTTGTTGGCAAATGTGTTTTTATTCAAGGTTGAGACTTGAGACAAACCTGGTCGTCGTATGGAATATCACGAGGTTGTTGCTTCCTCTCCAGCTTAAAAAAATGTATCCCATATTTATCCAACCTCTCTCCTAACATATATTTGCGATTCTGGCCCAAAGGTTTTTCAAGATAGCAAGTCTTCACGCACTACAAGAAAAATGTAATGTTGTTTAGTATAAGTACAAATGGTAGATTTAACTTGTACTTTTTCCGTCATATAAAGATGTCCCATTTTGACTTTTAGAAAATTTAAGAGAGATTTTTGTGATGACTTTCTAAAAATTCTCTTGACGTGATAGATAAAAATATGATCTGATAGGCAGATTTTTAGTAAAAAAATATGATGTGATAAGTAGATTAAGAATTAGTAGAGGTAAAAGTAGTTTTTTAATAGAAAAGAAAAAGAGTTTATGGGAAAAAAAGGAGAATGTTTTTGGAACAAATGATAAATTTGTAAACTTTATGACTATTATTTTTGACACTAGGATTTTGCACCTCACCCCCCTACGTAGCATCAAAATTGAAATTTCAAAAATATTTTATAATCTGGATTAACCGACCAAACCGAACCATTTTAGAGCTAAAATCGAATAAACCAAACTGATGAAAACAAAAAATAGTTACGTCAAGGAACCAACTCAACCAAAAGTTCAAGCTTGTGGTTGTGGCCCAGGAAAGGTTATTTATATTCTAACACACCCCCTCACGTGCAATCATAATTTTTTTCGAGCCTTGCACGTGAAACCTTAAATATTTTTTAAGATTGGGTGGCGTTGACTTTCAAACTTGTGACCTATCAGTCAACAAAGCTCCGATACCATGTCAAAGAACCAACTCAACCAAAAGCTCAAGCTTGTGGTTGTGACTCAGGAAAGATTATTTATATTCTAACAAGTTACAAAAAAACAAAAACATACCTATTTTTACTAGTTTCACATTCATTCATAAGGGCATATATTGAAGGGAAATTGAACAAAGTGAGGGGAAACTGACATGGGAAACAGTCTAACACTCCAACACAATCAAAAGTCTCAACATAGGGGAAAATTCAAATATTCCATAGCACTCTAAGTGTGCAATTCTCCAAACTCCAAACACTTAACTTACTCAAGTCCAAATTAACATTCCAAAAGTAGAGTGAAATTCTGAATTTAACACACCAAAGTTGAAAGTTTATAATGAAAGAAGGAAAGAATAATTATAGAATCAAGCTCACAGAACGTGCCTCTTCTTCGCCTTAAGAATCAGGGGAAGATCATACCTCCATTGAATCAACTCCAACCATCTAAAAAAACAAAGGGTAAACTCAAGTTGGGATTCAAAGATTCTAAAATAATGACTCCAAAGTGACTAATAAGCTAGCTTGAACAACTTTATATTTTAAATGCCCTTTTGCTTAATTTCAAAAGTTGCAATATATATTATAAATTTCTCTATGACAAGACACTTTAGCCAAAATAAGTGTAATTCTGGTCAACATTCATTTTTTGTCCTTCCATGCAAGCAAAAGAAAGATGCAGTGCACGCCAATTTTTCACTTTCTGCTTCCTCCACCATCAATATAACAATCACCTAAAGTAAGTTCTAAGAACCCTAAAAATGGTATAAATTAAGGGTATGTTTGGATCATGGGAGATGATGATATAAAAGGTATCAAGTTTAATTATATCGATATACGGTAACTTGATATTTTATGTGTAGGAAAACTAAAAGATATATGAAAAAAAGGGAAAAAAGAGCCAAATACTTGAGATAGTATACAAGCAAGCTTCAATAATGAATAGAAGTAATAAAAAGTTGAGTGCCAAATACTCTGGCCTAATCCAGATTCAAGATTCAATGAGGAAGGTGACCTATAAACTCGAGTTACCTCTAGAAGCTAAGGTCCATAATGTCTTTCATGCCTCCTTGTCGAAAGCCTTTAGGTGGCCTCTCCCTCAACAACCTCGTGTTCCCCTTGGCTGCAAGGGATGGACACAGACAACATGTTATTTATTTACTTTTGTTGTACTATACATGTTCTCTTGTAATTGGGTTTGGTCAACCATAAGACTAATTTATTTGCTGAGCTTATAAACTTCAAATGGATGTGCATCTCATCGCGTCGGGATTCGCGGCTCCCATTTCGAAATGCCCTTTTCATCGATTGCCGGTAACAACAAAATCTACCACACATCACAATTCACGGTTCCGATTCCAATCCAGGTCTTCACCTTCAAGGTTAGGGTTTCCTCCTCTTCTTCTTAAATATAATCACAACTAGAATTTTTTCTCTTGGCAATCGAGTGACCTCTTAATTTACTGTTATCTTTTGTTTTAAAAAAAGTAATTCTGCTATTTCTTCGAATTCATTGGAAACAGGCTTGATTTCCATTGTTCTCTCTACGATGGAGTCCGGGTCCATAGACGAAATTGGTGTTGAGTTAGGGCCTTCATGCACGGATGCTCTAGAGTCAGGCTCTTCAGGGGTTGATGATGTTGATTCACGATCTTCTTCTAAGATGGATGGTAGGTCAGGTTATCCGTCAAAGAATAAAAACATTGGTGAGGGTTGGATGCATGGCAGGCTTTCCTCTTTGAACAATATTCCCTTGTTTTCCGAGTCTGTAGAGGAAATGGGTGTTGAGTTAGGGCCTTCATGCATGGATGTTCAAGAGTCAGGCTCTTCAGGGATTGATGATGTTGATTCACGGTCTTCTTCTGAGATGAATGGCATGCCAGAGTATCCGTCAAAGAAGCAAAAAATTGGTGAGGATTGTATCGATGCCAGGCTTTTCTCTTTGCACAATGTACCCTTGTTTTTTGAGTCCATGGAAGTTGAGTTGAGGTCTCAATGCATGGATGTTCTAGAGTCAGGCTCTTCAGGGATTGATGATGTGGATTCAAGGTCTTCTTCTGAGATGAATGGTAGGTCAGGTTATCCGTCAAAGAATCATAATATTGGTGAGGATGGGATGGATGCCAGGCTTTTCTCTTTGCACAATGTACCCTTGTTCGACATTTGTGAGATGAAATGCATTCGTCGAACATTTGGAGAGCAAGTTCATTTTGACCAGGAAACACTTTGTGGCAAATACATTCTGTTTTACCCTTTCGTCCCCTCACCTTTGGATTATCGCCTCATACAAAATTCACTCTACCCCAATGAGCTCTTTGATCTTTTTGCTGACTACGAGACGATTTTGAGATGGTATTTGTTGCAAAATCGAGAGGGCAAGATGATTTACAACTATACTACTATGGTCTTCCCTCTTACTCTCTTGTTGTACCATGCGAGGAGTCAGGTCGTCCTAACATTATGCGTGAGTTCCATGACTTGGTTGATCCGGGTACTTTTGAATGTCTCTTTCTGAATGTCAACAAAAACATTGGCGTCCGTGGAAATATTGACTCCATGTCGTGTCTTACAGAACATCTTCAGAAACTAATACAAGAAAGTCCATTTGACTGCCTGCGCTCTTCTCAAAGGATTTTGAAAAAACTATGGCCTGTGATTCCCCAAGAGCAGAAAAATCCCTTCCCATGTGAGGGATGTTGTCCTATAGCCAAGAAATTGAATGCTGTGAAACTTGAATATGGAAATAATATCAATGAGATGGTTGCTGATTCAAAGAAGTTATTTCCCACCAGGATTGGTCAATCTTTTGATGTTATCTCTTTGTTGTCTGGTAAAGGGGAGATGAAGAAGCACCTTGTTCACAAGGGTGGCGATAGAGTTGAGGTTGATAAGCAGACATTTAGTGGAAAACACATCATGATTTGTTGCTCTAATGTGCCTGTCTTCCGCCATGAGCATACTGCACGTGATGCCCAGGCTCTCGCAACTGCATGCTCCAAGCTGTATTGCTCGAGAAATGACTTTGAGATGGTAGTAGTTGCAAAGGTGAACCAATTGGCCAATTACGAGGTGTTTTCAATCACTTTTTGTCGGGGTTCCCCACTCCATGTCTAGTAGTACCATTCGAAGACTCGGAGCGCCGTGACTTTATATGCAAATACCTTGACCTCCATGCATGCTATGACATAGGATGTCTCATTTTGGAGAAGGATACAGATATCAAGAGAAACATTTTGTTTTGTGAGAGTCCTTACTTTGCACTGAATTATGGTGCTGATGCCTTTCCCTCTACTCCTGAGAAATTGCAGGAAGTTAGCGCAAATGACCATATGTGGTCGGATGGTGTTGTTCCTCCTCCAGCCAACTTTAAATTAAAGAACTTTTAGGGTGCACTCTGTCTGATATTCTTCATAAGACTCTTTCACCAGGTTCCATGAGGAGGCAAATATCTTGGAACTCAGCAGGAAGGTGGTTGGGGTGTACGTGTGCAGAGCTGAACAGAAAGAATTCGAGATAGTGCTGGGGTGCGTACCCTGGCGTGCTGACTGTCTTGACCCACAGGTTCACATGGAGAATATTAGGGGTTTGTTGCAGGAGTGGGGGATATCGTGGTGGCAGTTTCCTTCCTTTGGGAATCCAGACAAGCTCTCCAACAGCTCCGTAAGCTTTAGGGTCAGGCGGTGTCTTTACAGGGATTTCACAGATCACATCATCATCGTGGTTCATCTCCGTAAGCTCCAAGTAATTTGATTTTTTTTAGTCAAATTCCGCAACACTTTGATCAAAAAATAAATATAGTTTTAAATAGTTCAATATTATAAAATTTTGACATATAAAAAATATATACTCCATCCGTCCCTATTTTGATTACAAAATGAGAATTACGAAATAAATTCCACGATTTTTGAAATCATTTTATTTACAAACTTGTATATCAATAAAAAAATAAAATGTTAAAAAGCTACACCAAAAGGTCTAGAAAGAGGTGACAAGAACATTTTATTTTATCAAATAATCAATGAAAACACACAAATAAACAAAAGCTGTTGAGAAAAGAAGGAAAATAAAATTATAATAAAAAAGGGAACAAAGAGAGTATTAAAATGAATGCAATTTACTAAATTTATGTTATAATTTAATATTTTTTTCCTTTGGTCAAATGTTACACAATTTAATCCAAATTGTGTTATACAATATGATACATGGACCGTGCTACATACCCCCCACCCTTGCTACCAACCTTGCCTCCACACACTTCTCCACCACATATTTATCTCTACTCATTCTCCACCCACCTTTTAATTTTAATTTTCTTGCCTCCCTACCACATGTTTATGTAGGGGGCATGGTTGGTAGCAAGGGTGGGGGGTTTTTAGCATTTTTCATGATACATACTCGTAGTGAAGTGAAATACATGTCCCAAAAATTAGAGCAGAAAAATGGGGCTAAAAAAGCTTCCCCTCCCATGGCAATGGCTTGAGCCACCACGACCCTCCTCCCCATAGTGTACTACCGTCGTCTCTCTCATCCCTCTTCCCTGTCGTTCTCCTTTCTTCATATTATTAACAGAATATTTGATTCTCGTTCTTGAATTCATCCCACAAAATACGTGATAGAATGGTGATTTTGGAGGGCATTAGTTGTTCTTCCCAATCGATGAGCCCAGCGAGACTAATTTTGGAGGGCATCAACTGTTCTTCCCATTTGATGAGCCCAGTGGGAGTGATTTTGGAGGGCATCAACTCTTCTTCCCAGCTGATGAGCCCAACAACAATGATTTTGGAGGGCATCACTTGTTTTTCCCAGTCGATGAGCCCAATGGTAGTGATTTCGAACGACATCCCACAAAATACGCAGATCTGTTCTTCTTAAGGCGGTAGTGGTGACTTTGGAGGGCTTCTATTATTGTTTTTATCTTCAACTTCGAGTTCTTTCGCCCTTAATGGCGGACAGAACTTTAGAGCAGGCTATTTGGTCTTTAGACAGGGCGAAGATGGCGGAATAGGTGATGATATGGTCAATCTTGCTGAAAATCTAGGAGTGTTCAAGGCATAAAGATACTGAATCAATTCAGGTTCAGGGAGAGGTAATAATAAGTTTTACTCCGCATTAATCTCAATGTTTTACTCTAAAATTTGAAAGATTGCAATTAATCCATAGAGTGTTTTATTTTTTTTCAAAATCATCGGGCATCTTTGTCTTCTTCTCCATTCCATAAGCTACCGGAAGCTGGAGGGACATTACCGCAGCATTCCTTCCCCGGGTCAAGCCGGCTCCGCGGCTCCTTCGGCTTTTCCCCGAGATTCGGGTCGATGTGCACCGTTACCCTTTATGGTTTCAAATTATGCAAAACTAAAATATCCTTCAAATTTTAAAACCATAAAGGGTAACGTCAAGCTCGTAACAGGCCTCCTCTGGAACCCCGTCGACCCAAATTCCGGGGAAAGGTTGGGGGAGACGTTGAGCCGGCTTGACGACCGGGGGAAGGAATGCTGCCGTAATGTCCTTCCAGCTTCTGGTAGCTTTTGGGGATGACGAAGACGACGATGCCGGATGATTTTAAAAAATAATAAAATATTCAGTGGATTAATTGCAGTCTTTCAAATTTTAGAGTAAAACATTGAGATTAATGTGGAGTAAAACTTATTATTACCTCTCCCTGAATTGATTCGGTATCTTTATGCCCCGAACACTCCAAGATTCCAGCAAGATTGACCATATCCTCACCTATTTCGCCATCTTCGTCATGCCTAAAGACCAAATAGCATGCTCCAAAGTTTTGTCCGTCATTAATGGTGGAAGAATTCGAAGTTAAAGATAAGAACAATAATAGATACCCTCTAAATCACCACTACCTCCGTAAGAAGAGCAGATATGCGTATTTTGTGGGATGCCCTTCAAAATCACTACCACTGGGCTCATCGACTGGGAAAAACACCTGATGCCCTCCAAAATCATTGCCGCTGGGCTCATCGATTGGGAAGAGCCGTTGATGCCCTCCAAAATCACTCCCGGTGGGCTCATCGACTGGGAAGAACCGTTGATGCCCTCCAAAATCACTCCCGAGCTCATCGACGGGGAAAAACAACTGATGCCCTCCAAAATCACTCCCGTTGGGCTCATCGATTGGGAAGAAGAATTGATTCCCTCCAAAATCACCATCCTATCACGTATTTTGTGGGATGAATTCAAGAAGGAAAATCAAGTATTCTGTCAGTAATATGAAGAAAAGAAGAGGACGACGGGGAAGAGGGATGAGAGAGGCGACGGTAGTACACTATGGGGAGGAGGGTTGTGGTTGCTCACGCCATGGGAGGGGAAGCTTTTTTAGCCCCCATACTGGGAGTATCCGGGGGGTGCAGAGTGCAAACAAATGGCAGTGCAGGGGATTTGTAACTACCTAAAGGAACTTTATTATGCGTGGCCAATCCCATTTTCTGCTCCAATTCTTGAGACATGTATTTCACTTTACTACGAGTATGTATCAATGTGTATAACACAATTTGGATTAAATTGTGTAACATTTTGACCATAGGAAAAAAGTATTTAATTATAACATGAATTTAGTAAATTGGGTTCATTTTAATACTCTCTTTGTTTCCATTTTGATTATAATTTTATTTTCTCTTTTCTCGACAGCTTTTGTTTATTTGTATGTGTTCTCATTGATTATTTGATAAAATAAAATGTTCTTCTCACCTCTTATTTTCTAGAACCTTTGGTGTAGCTTTTTAACATTTATTTTTTATTGATATACAAGTTTGTAAATAACATGATTTCAAAAATCGTGGAATTTATTTCGTAATTCTCATTTTGTAATCAAAATAGAGACGGATGGAGTATATATTTTTATATATCAAATTTTTATAATATTGAACCATTTAAAACTATATTTATTTTTTGATCAAAGTCTTGCACAATTTGACTAAAAAATTAAATTACTTGGGATATTGGAGTGACATACTACCCTTTCCTTAAGTTTTATTTTATTGTATTAAATAGAGATTAATTGATAAATAAATTTTATCTTCTTTGAATTACAAAAATCAAACTAGCTAGACAAGTACATCGACACAGAGGAAGTATACCTTTTTCAGATCTGAATGTGAATCTATCTGATTCTGAAACAAAAAAAAAAAGTACGGAGTATATATGTTCTCAAAACGGTAAAGTTAAATGCGAAACCTAATGTCAAACAAGTCCATTATGCTCCATCCATTCCCAAATAATGTTCCCCTATTGAGGTTGTAAGGTCACAATAGTAATAAAAAAAGAAAGCAAGATTCTAAAAAATTTACAAAGTATTGAATGAAATTGTAAAATTAAGATCATTTGATTCGTCCTGAAATGAAATATTTGAGTTATAATATTTTCTTTTAAAATGATTAGTGCTTAAAATAAATATTAACGGTAAAGTTTCACATTGAAAAATGTAAAAAATTTAATAAAAAAATAATTTTAGAATGGAGAGAGTTTATATGAGGAGATTTATACCAAGGATATGAATTTCGAACTCTGCTTTTGTGACCAAGAAATGCAGAATTTATAGAGCAGCATAAGGGAAGAAAGGCTACGATCGCGTCTCCCTTCTAAAACGCACGTCCCTTTGCACGAGTTTGAGAAACAACGCTATCGTTTTCAGAACGAAAATTTTCCTCTAAGGAAAATTTTTAAATTAAAAATTCAAATAAAGTTTTAACATAGTATTTTGTCCAAAATAAAAATCTCGACTCCAGCCAGGAGCTCTGCCCCTTGGACCCCGCAAGAGCTGCCACCCCTTGACCCTGCTCGGGGCCGCTGCCCCCTTGGTACCCCCGTTATGATACTATTAGTCGAATAATTTTTTTAGTTACACTAAAATTTTTAACAGTTTCTAAGTATGTAAATTTTATTTTTAATTTCTATACCAATCCATAAATAAATAAATTATAGAAACTTTACATTTTACTTTATTTTACATAAAGTGTATAATACTTTAAGATGGGTGAAATATTATAAATTGTTAATCAAATAACTTGAGTAATCTTTTAATGCTGCCTAGTGCCTATCAATTTTAAAAATAATTGCACAAAAAGCTTACCCTTGAGGCCTTTAAAATTATTCTTACAGAGTACAAATTGAGCCGTCATTACAAATTACGGAAGTTGCGGGGTTTTAGTTTTTCAGTTGATGGTGTAGGGACGCCACGCGGGGCCGTCTGATTATCCAAAAACGATTTCCCTCATTTTGCGCATGAGGGTGGAAGCACTTTAATTTTACTACCCTTCCCACATTTTAAAAGGATTTTTCGTTTTTAATCTAATCTAGTTTGGACTTATTTTGAGGGTGTTTAGGAGAGATTAATTTATGTATAAAGTAATTTTCATAAAAGCTGAAAGCAAAAACACCTCATACAGGCTTTTTTGAAACAGTGTTCAATGTACAAAATAGTGGTGATGAAAAGTAGAAGGTGACATATCAAACAAAGTAAAACCACTTCTACTCAAAACAGAAGCTAAATTATTAAAAGTAGCACACTGCCAAACACACTCTTAAATAGTATTAAGGTAGTGTTTTCTTCAACTTATGTTTTCTACGTATTACTTATTCTAATTATTATCATTATCAGACCAGACCAGATCAGACTAAATTCGATCAAATCAGATCAGACCAAATCTTCAAAAAATCAGATGAGATCAAGTGAATGGAACGCAATCTAAGTAACACCATAGTAATTAAGTGTAATATAAATATATAGAAAAGAATACAACAAGCAACTCACAACTTTATAGAAAATTTATCATGCCAATATACCAAGGTTTCTTTTGTCAAATGGGAAGATGTTTGCAAGATTTGAAATGTAGGTGGGTTGGGTTTCAAAAACTTGGATTATTGGAACTATGCGGGTATTAGGGAAAAAGACTAAATGAGGAATAAAACATTAAAAATATATCAAAATAGGAGTTTTATAATTTTATTCTTGAAATAAGAGTTAAAATGTATTTAAATTATCAATCATGACTAGGTACATTACGTAAAATGCACATGTACAATGCCACATTACTACAATGCAAACTCATATTTAAGAAAATAAAAATATAGAATTCTTATTTTAGTATTTTCTCTATGTTTTAGTCCTATTTAAGGTGATTTTTTTTAATTATTATAAAATTTTACTCGGTAGGATAAAAAATAAATATTCAAATTCAAAATGAAAACATTTATATATGAGGGAAGTTCAAAACATGATACTTTCTCTGTCGCACTATTTGTAAAACGTGTGAGAGTAAAATAAAAATAAATAAAAATAAAATTGTTTGATTGATATTGATATTAAAAAGTAAAATAATGTAAGAATTAATTAGAGTTAGACAAATTAACCATTGAAAAGTAAAATAAAGTAATAGAAGGAGCGAATCAAGTAATACTCCGTATGTATGAGTTAATTCTTACCTATTTGCCTCCGGCCATCGCCCACTGTCTCCGCCTCAAAACCGACTACCACCTTGCTACATTGCCATACTTTCACCTCCACCACCACCACTGTCAACTATGCTGCACTGCCACATCCATCACCATACTGCCACTTCTATCGCTACACTATTTGGAATGTCAGTGCGGTTCTAGTCCAGCGTCGATAGTATCATCCAAATACGGATAAGGATTGGGCCAACGAAAGGAACAATTCTGGAGTGTGGCCTGGGCCTGGATCAACCAACAAGTGGAGCGGTCGATTCCATTGTTCTTGATTAATTGATGACTGATTCTCTACCCATAATTGACGCACGTTAGATCAATTATGACGAGAAAACATGACACAGTTACATACCATGTACGTCCTAGTATGTAGACTTTGAATAGATAGGGAGTAAAACCTTACCATAACCCAAGCTTAATTAAGTTAAGGCAAGCAATATTAAAGTTTTATTTCTGAGAGCTTTTTTATAATTATTATAATCATTCTTTATCCCTTCATAGTTAGAGGACTCAGTACATCACAACAAAAACTCAAAAAACTAATCAAATATTCTGAGACAAATGTATAACTCTTATTAAAGAATTAAATAAAAGTTACATAAAATTTCAAGTGAGAAAATTATTATT